GCTCTCTCCACAAAACTGATATGCTATCGATGGGGTAGGAAATCCAATGCGAAATCCAATCCCAATCGCAATCCAATCCCAATCGAAATCCAGACCAAGTTGAAATCGAAATCTCAACGAATCCGTAAATCATGCACACACATTCAGGCATGCCAACAGACCAAATCATGGCCTAATCTATCTAACCGTTCACAGTTTATGGCCCTCTTCTGGCCATATCGCTTGGGCTCTTTATTATTTATACTCTGCTGTTTTTATTTTTGCCATTTCCACTTTCATATTTGCCGAAAGCGGAATTTGTTTTTATAATATTACGACCAGTCGGCCCCCGACTACTGTTGCCCAGTACTTGGCAGCCGATTTAATCGAGTCGATATACCTCGAAAACACTTTGTGGCGCCCGGTGACGGACCCTCGATCTTCTGATTTCCCTGCCACGAGAGGTGTTGTAAATTACGGGGAAAATGTGAATATGTTAAGGAGGCAAACGAGCTATGTGCTCGAGAGTTCAAAAGGCTATAAACATTTAAAAATTTTCCCATTTAAATAATTTATATCTCTTAACTTTATATTGTTTTCTTTCTCGGATATTATTTATAAATTAAATTACTTTTCATTTTTTCTACAAGGCCCTTTTTGCATATTTAATAGTTAGCTCATTATTCTAGTAAACTTGAAGGAAATAATTTCTGTGTTTTTAAGCTATCAAACTGTTTTATTTTAAATTTTCCTTTTAAATTATAGTTCATATGAATAATAATGACTTCATAAAAATAAATCATTTATGAAATAAGTCATTTCAAAGATAATTACTCAGCACTTAAGGGGTTATATACCTTTTTCAGACTCAAAAAATCGAAAAAAATTTTATGATTTTTTTTTTGATGTACATACTTTCAACAATTTTTCTGCAAAATTTTTTAGAGATCGGGGCACTAGAACCTAAGATACAGCCGTTCATAGCGCACGGTGAACATGACTACCTAATGTCCACCTAAAACTTTAAACGCGATTATCTCGGAGTCGCATTTTTGAGAAAAGGTCATTGCGGTGAGCACGATATCTCGGTAACCACTACATCGATCGATTTGAAATTTTGGGGGATTGTTTGTAGATACAATAGCTAGTTCGTGAACGAAGGAATTTTTTTTCGACAAATTTTTCTATTTTTTTGGGGCGAAAAACTAAATTATTAGACCTCGAAAAATCGGTTTTTTTGAAAAAATAATCACTGTAACTGTAAAAAATTTTTTTTCGTAAAATCCTTCGTTCACGAACTAGGTAACACTATATACTAAATTAGTTTTTTTTTCATTTTTTTTTAAGTTGAGCCGTTTTCTTGTTTTCATGCTCACCGCAAGCCTCTAATGAAAAAAGGACTTCTGCGGGAAGGACTATAACTTCCACAATACTCAAAATTTTCACTCGAAATTTTATACGAATTAAGTTAAGGACACGTACTTTGATAAAATTTTTATTGAATTTAAATAAAACAATGGTAACATGCTAAAAAAAAATAAATAAAAACCATGTATTTCTCTGGTGAAAAAGGTATATAACCCCTTAAGGCAATGAAAAATGCTTCTCAAAAGTTTGCAAAACAATTTTTCTAATAATACCCCTCCAAATTTCACGAGCTCCGAAGTAATTATAAATGAAATTCCGGAAATTAACACCTCCTACAGGAGGAAAGCAGCCCCCACGGCAAGCCGTTAACCCAAACCAAATTGTAATGGCTGCAAATCGCCCCAAAACAATAATAATCCTGGCAAAAGGCCGGGACAGAAAACAGGGCGCAGGATAACAATGATTTCAATTACCATGCAGTGTCGAATAATTATTCCACCTTCTCCTTTTTTATGCGAGCAAGTGCGTGGAGTGCGTGAATATTGCTCCCGGGCGGATAAAAACAGATGAACGTCGAACCCGGAGGGCTGGATGATTTCGGGATTGGGAGTGGGAGTGCCACTGGGTGGTAGTGGGAGGCGTGGGTGTTTTCGGGGTGGACGAAGGCTATGTCTAATGTGCACAAATTTATGACTTTACTGCCGACCGTCGAGGGGTCGTTGATGCCACTTTGCCACAGCCTCCAGAAGCCGGAGGAATCGCCACCCTGGAGCGACATTGGGCACATGCTTAAGCTCATTATTGTCGTTTAAACAAGTCGCTCTACGTGCGCCGCCAGGAGCCACTTGTCCTGCTCCTGCTCCTGGTCTTTGGTCCTTAGTCCTTGGTCCTTGGGGTTGCTTTCGGGCCGCTTCAGCTTGCAGCGAACGTTAAACGTTTCCAATTTTATTTCCTATATATTGTGTGGGCTTGGGCTCCCCTTGCCACCTTCCTCCTGGTGGTTGTGCCACCGCCCCGTCCTCCATTCGATTCGAATTTGTTTTCGGCTGGTGCAAATGCTCCCGGGACGATTGCGTACATAATTAGAGAGGAAGGGTTGGGTTTTCGACCGGGACACATTTGCCATAATGCCAATGATTAAAATTTAGATTTTCAGAGGGGTAGTGGTAGTGGGGTGAATAAGGTCTGGCATAAAGCTGATTTTATATGTTCAATATTCAATTTAAACTACGATTTAATATTGCGATATTTGAAGAATAGTTTAAAATTGTTTTTTCCTTAAGAATACAACTAAATTTGAAATTTATAAATCATATCAATAACCATTTTAATGGTAATAAAACTTTGGATAAAAAAATTGAATAAATTGTTGAGGTTTCTTTGTTGTAAACCAACTGACAGAACAACATTCAGATCAAATAATAACCAACATTTGGTAACCGAAATACGAAGCTCTTTAAATAGAATAGGAAGCCGCAAAAGATATGTTGCTTATTTTTTAATTTAACCCGACAAGGTATTTCTTACAAGCGACCTTAGCTTAACTTTGTGATGATCAAACGAATCCGTAGGCATCTGGATTACTGGCAAATTTCCATATTTAAAAGCACTTGGAAGCAAAGACCAAAATCCAAGGACCCAAGTTCGAACAAAAATAACAGCAGAAGGGCAATAAAAACACTTGACACTCGGGAAGGAAAGAGCGGTCGAGTAGTCGAGCAGTCGAGCAGCCACCCCCCATTTGTATCTGGGTATCCGATGGATACGTATGTATTTCCCGGCCTGCGTGTTTAGTGCGTGGGCTCTGTTTATATTTGCTTGGCTTTGCGTTTTGCCGCCTCACTGACTCCGAACTATGGAACGGAATCAAAGTCCCGCCCCTGTATTTTCCACCTACTATACATCCCCATCCCCTTTCCCTCTCCATTTTCATCCTCATCCATCCCCCTTCCCCCTTTTCTGTTACTTTTATCTGCGTGGCGAATTAGAATGTTGTCAAATTGTTATTCTTTTGTTGCGATGCGGATTCATTCATTCATTCGATTCGCCTCAGGCCGTCGCGGTTTTCACTTGCCTTCCCGTGAACCCGTGTACCGCATACCCCTTTCCTTTCCCTCCCCCCTTTCCTCTCCTCTTCATCAACCTCAAAACTCTGCGCCTGCGTCAATTTGCGAGCGCGGAATGTCGCCGGAGTTCCCCTCCTGCGATGCCAGCCGATTCCCATTTCCCCGGGCCACTGTGTGTTTTCTGTTTTGTCATGCTCCATTTAGCCGAGTGTGGACCGAACAGATGTTCTATTTAAACGCACATTATTATTATTTCATTTCGACAGGCGATAGACTCCGAGGATGTGTATTTCGTGTGCTGTCGTGCACCATGCAAAAGTTTTGATTTTCCTATTTTGTGATGCGAGCTGAGGAAGGGATTTCGTTTTAGAAAAAATAAGTTTTTGAAAAAAAGTCAACCTTATCAGGTGAACTGTTTAAGATCAGTAAACTCCCAGAAGATATGTATATGAACAGTAACTGTTTATGGTAAATATAATAATAATATTAAATATCTTTAAAATAAAGCAAAGGATCAAAGTGTTGAGTATTTAAAAAATTGTACTTTCATGGATTATCTAATTATTTTTAATTTAGGTTTATAATTTCAAGACGAATACTTTTATTCTTCTTTTAATAATTTTTTTTATCAAAACCAAAATATTCTATGAATACAAACTTCAAAATTCGTGTAGGTCGATTAATTGATTCTAAGTAATATAGACATAATACCCAACTTTTTCGGTTGTCATGAAAGGTCCTTGATTTGGAAATTCTCGTCGGGTGGCTGCTCCTGTCCAGGGGCGTGCCGTCAACAACCCTGAGCGCCGGCGCCGTATCCGCACACGGATTTGTGTCTGTGTCCGTGGCCATCATCGCCATCACGGCGGCCAAAAGATTCCGGGGTGACGATGCCGAATGATGACGCACTGATGTCAAATGCGGAAAGCGGTTCACGAGAGGGGAAGGATTCGTTGATTAGGGTGAATTAATGGTCATGTAAGGTGGATTAGGCGATTGAATACGAAAATAATTACATTTGAAATTCGATATGCTGCCAACTGCCACACATACGAGGACGTAATTGTGTGTGAGGCTGCACAGGTGGATTCCCTTTCCTGTTTCCCCCTTTTTTTTTTTTGAGTGATTAATGATTCCGAATGGGCTTTGCTCTGATTTAAATAAACGATCTTGTATTTTTACAATAAAAAAAACAAGAGGATGTGCCTCAAGAAACTTTAGAGCACAATCTACTCAAATGCTCTAGTTAGTTTTAGTTTTAAGTTTTTACAACTCATGTATCAACAGAACAATTAATTTTTAAAATTTATTTAAAATGTTTCTAGATCAAGCTAAGTTTGAAAACGATGAAAAGAGTTTTGTTTTTTCATCCTATCATATTTAATTAATTAAGCTTGACTATGGAATTTTAAGAAGATAAATGCTATTATGGACTCTCTTACAATTAGTGTAGTAAAGAGGTCATAATTTCTTTTTGATTTGGCTTTAAATTTTATTTAACAAAGTTAAATTAAATATTATTAAGTCTAGTTCAAATGGCACTTGTATACCCTTTACTAACCCCCTTCTTTTTATTTCATTTTTCAGATGCCTCGCTAGCGTTTAGCATAAGCAGACTGGTCAAGACTGAACAACTGACGGCGATGGCGGCGGCGGCCGTTGGCCTGAAGCCGCCGACTCCCATGGAGGACAACAACAACTCAATCTCGATGCTGAGCAAGAACCAGCAGATGCACCAGCAGCACCACCAGAGCCAGCAGCCCCATCTTCCCCAGCGCTCCAAGCCGGCCTTCATCAGCGCCAGCGAGAAGCTGCGCCGCCAGTCGCGATCCCGCTCGAGGTCGAGATCCCGCAGTCCCTGCTCCTCGCAGATCGACATGGAGGACGCGGAGTCACACCACTCGCTGCACTCCCGCTCGCGGTCCCGCTCCCGTTCCCGCTCCCACTCCCGCTCGCGCTCGCACTCGAGCAGCTCCTCGGTGGAACTGGAGGTGGACTCGCCGCCCGGCAGTCCGCGGATCAGCTCGCCCAGCGGAGCCTCCGCCTCCGCCTCCGCCTCGGAGCTGCTGATCACGGCCAATGGCGGCGGTCGCAGCATAGGCTCCAAGAAGTCCGACCTCTTCTCCGTTTCCGCGCTCCTCCGCCGGGACGAACCGCCCCAGCGACGGACGCCCCGCAGCCCCCCACTTGGTCACCTGGCCGCCGGCGGCCTGGCCATGCCCTTCAACCCGCTGGAGGCGATGCGGCAGGGCTACCCGCCCAACTACGACGCGGCCATGTTCCAGCGACCGCTCTTCTCGCCCGCCCTCCCCTTCTTCGCCGCCGTCGCCTTCCACCAAGGTCAGCAGCAGCAGCAGCAGCAACAACAGCAGTCCGGACTGGCAGCAGGGTAAGTGGCACTATACTGTTGGGGATCTACTAACATACCATACATAAATGGAAAATAACATTTCAATATGCGTGTTTATTTAAGGCTTATATTTAACACATAACATAAATAAAAAAATGTGCACTATATATAGAGATAAAGTTTTCAAGCTTGAAAGGGAAAGTAACATCTATTTGTATAATGCTCTTTAAGTTTAAATATTTTAAAAATTCTATAAATATGTGGTATTTTTTTAAATCTCATTATCAGATCATTCTTCTGAGATTAGACTTAGATTTTTAGTATCCAGGAGCCTTTTTACCAAATACTAAAAATACTTGCAAATCAAAAGAAGTAATTATATCAAAAGTATTTTTGGACTTAAAACTTTAAAGAAAGAAACCTTATGCCGCATCGCAATTTCATTACCAGATTAGCTCCATTTTTGCCCCATTTGCCAGGCTCAAAACGGTCAGATCCTCAGACTGTGCACTCGGGACCCATTTTAATTAACTCGCCTCAATTAAATGTGTTTCCGCAGCTACCATCCGGACTCGCAGGAAAATCTCTTCCGTCTGCGGAGTCTGATGGTGCCACTCCAGTCCGCCGGACAGAACAACTCGTCGGCGGCAGCGGCGGCGGCGGCAGCAGCGGCGGCAGCGGTGGGCGTCGGTGTCGGAGTGGGCGTGGGCGTGCCACCCAGCGGCGGGCACTTGGGGCTGCCCCACTCGACGCACCTCCACCACTTCCACCACATGGCCGCCAAGTGGCCCGGCCTGCACCAATTCAGCGACCTGTACTCGTGCATGAAGTGCGAGAAGATGTTCTCCACGCCCCACGGCCTCGAGGTCCACTCCCGGCGGACGCACCACGGCAAGAAGCCCTACGCCTGCGAGCTCTGCAACAAGACCTTCGGCCACGAGGTCAGCCTCAGCCAGCACAGGTATGTGTACAATGCCAGTGTGCCACCACAAGTGGGAGGGAAGTGGGCGGGCAGGGTTGCCCGACACTCCAAAAAATAATCAGAAATTAATTATTCAGAAAACAAATATTTACTGGTTGGTTCTTAAGGGATAGAATGCAGAAGCTTCTTAGGTATATAGTTTGAAATTTATATATTATATAATTAAACATAATTGATTTGATAAATGGATTTCCGGAAATATCTTCAAAATTTTTTTTTTATTTTCGAATTTCGAACTATTTTGGCAAGTCAATATTATTTTACTGCAGTATAAATTTCGTATTGAAATACAAAATATATTTATATTTAAGATTTTTAAAATCACCTCTTATTTTTCCGAGTGTAATGAGTGGTCTTCCTGCTTGGGACAATAGCGGACACTTTGCATTACTTAATTTAGCCAAAATGGCTGGATTTCAGCCTGACCAAATGTTTGCCTTTGTGGCTGTAGTTAAAACACGTCCGTATCCGCCTTTGGGGACTTACCGGACCTTAATTACGGCGAGCACTCGTTACTGGGACCCCACTAATCCCCCTCCCCCTCCACCTCCTCCGTTCCAGGGCGGTGCACAACGTGGAGAAGGTGTTCGAGTGCAAGCAGTGCGGCAAGCGCTTCAAGCGATCCAGCACCCTGTCCACCCACCTGCTCATCCACAGCGACACGCGGCCTTACCCCTGCAACTACTGCGGCAAGCGGTTCCACCAGAAGAGCGACATGAAGAAGCACACCTACATCCACACAGGTAAGCAGTTCAGTGTTGCATTTAAGAAGGTCCATTCTTATCGGTCTCTGTTATTTGGTGCACAAAATTAAAGTGCTTAGGAAAATGTTGAAAAACAAAAAAATATTATTTTTTAAATAAGCCTAATATGGAAATTCTTGTATTTCATTGAACTCCATGCTTTTTATTTAAGATGAATTATTATACCATTTCCAGTCACCGATTTCTTTTTCATCTCACCAAATCCAAAATCGAATATTATTAATGTATCAACTTTTCCAAAAAAAAATAATAACGTCAAAAAAGACTTTTAATTCAGTTACTTTGTACACTATACAGAAAACATTGTTATTGTTTGAAATCCATATTTTTTGTAAACCAAACGGTCTGCATTGTATCTCACCCTTTTAAATTAAAGGGGTAACATGAATCACAGACCTTCTGGGGAGGTCATGCAAAAATCTAGCCCAAAGCAAGCGGAACTTTAAGGAATTTCGCCATAACACAAACGCAGTTTATGGGATCATGGGGTCTTTGGGGTGGTAGGAAGTATGTGTGGGTTCCAGGGGGACAGGAAGCGTCGCCATTAAAGCACCGAACGAACCACCCCAAAAGCCGCAGTCGCCAGTTGCAATTACAGTTGCCATCGGCAGAACAGATATAACGAAATCTCAGGGGGCGGCGGCAAGAGGGGGGTTTGAAAAAATGGAGCAGATGACAGCTGAAAGAGCACCCAGTTGCTCTCCCAAAATCGCAAGGGAGAAATCCACAATGAGAGAGCGAGAGAGCACTGCTAGTGATAAGAATCTGAATCAGAAAGAATCTATATACTGGAAGGTCTGCACACAGATGCGCCCAAGCACACGCACACACCAAGGCAGAGAGAGTAAGAGCGGAAGCGAGAGATAGAGAAAGAGGCGGGCTGAGAAATCACAGCCGACCAATGAAAAATTTAGTCAAGAGATTTTGATTTTCTGTTTTATACGCGCGCACTCACACGAATAACAAATACGAGGCGCACACATCGACACCGTGCAGTGGTGTAGGTGCACACACCCCCGGAAAGCCGAAAACGAAACGGAACTGAAACGCCATTGCGAAACAGGGCGAAAGGGGAGAAGGTCGCTGGGTGGGGCCGCACATTAGCATCGATTTCAAGTTCTTGATGGCTACGTGAAAATTTCAAATCTCAAATGCGATTTGTTCTAGTTTAAAACCCCACTCACACTGTTCCGAAATCGCACTTTCTTTTAAAATATAGTAAAAACACGATGTATTACATTTTGTTTTGAAAGGTATGCCGTCAGAAACAAACATATTAGTATCTTTTAGGAACAAACACAGAGTTATGAATTTTTTGTATTAAATAATGTTAATTAAATCATAGTTAAATTATAGGTTTTTCTTTTAAGAACCTTTTTTATATTAAATGATGTTGTTCCTTATCGCTTTGTCTTATCACTTTATAAATTTACTAAAGCTGTATAGAGCATAAGTGGTTTGCGTTGGTTTGCATTAAATAAAAGCAGTAAACTTATTTTTGCTTTTGATAAGTTCTATCTTTATCGTTTTCTATTTTAAAAGTTTGAATTAGATCTATTTCAAAAATTTGAGTTAGATCTTTAAAGAAAGTTAAGAAGAAAAATCATAATTTCTACATGTTCCTCACTTCAAGGCACTTCACCTTAAACCAACGTTTTTTAGAATAATCGATACATCGACCACCCGTCACATTAAAATTCATTCGAGGTAATCACTTCTATATTGCTGCACCAGATTTCAGTTCTGTATACGCACACTGGATCATTAAGCATAAAAAGCGAAATTCTTTTGGCTGGAAATCAGTTTACAAATGGCAAGGATAATAACCTCTAATAAGCAGACTTTCCTCGCTGAAGCGTCTGGTGAAATCAGTGAAAGAGAAATCAGCACCCCTACAAACACACACACCCACACACATACAAACTCACAGTAATGTAGAGAGAGAGAAAGAGAAGTATTCCAGACATTTTTATCGCTTGCCGTCTTCGATTTAGGACGTGAGCCCCCTCCAAGGCCCAAAAAGCATCCCCTACTCCCAATGCACATGTGGCTATGTTAGCCCCAACATTTCAAGATTTCCCATCCGAGTGTTTTGGTTTTTTTTTACTTGGGTTCCGCTTGCCTCGCTTTGCTTTCCTTACGACTTATCCTTAATTTTCCTCCTTGTGCCGAGACGTGTTTCCATCCCAGACAGCAGATTTTTCCTCCTTTCATCTGATGTGATTTTTCGGAACAATTTTTTCACTTTTTCCGTTCGGGTTCTTTCTGCATTTTCGTATTTACTTTTTGGGTAATGTTTTATGTGTTTAGTCCGTGCCCCATCCTCATTTCCCTTCCATTTTTTGTGTTTCGCTTTTATTTCCTTGCCTCAGATTTCCGTTTTTCGTCAATTTATGCGCTATAAAAAGAGAAGAGAAAAAAAACATTTTTGGACTGTTTTATTTATTCATGACTTTTGTTTTCCATTCCAAAGTTCAATCTTAGTGTGTTTGAGGTGCAAAAGGTGTTTTGGCGGAACAAAATCGATATTTTCAACTGAAGCAAGGTTTCTGGCTTCGGTTTAAATATTTTAAGTTCTTAAACACTTTGTTATTTTTAAATAAACAATAAAAATCATAAAATAATTTTTAAAAAAAGTTTATTTTATTAAAGGAAGTGAATATAATCAGTTTTAGTTTTTTTTAAAGTGCAGTACAATGCCATAGAACAATACTTATCCTTTTTCTTTGTCGGTTTAAGCCCTTTTCGACCTTTTTGACCCTCTATTCGCTTATATCGAATCATTTCCCAAATCAAACCAAAACAATTTTCCATTATGCTTTGCCGTCGCTTCACAGGGCGTATGCGTGATTTGATTCCCACCGCTTAGCGCAAGTTGCCAAGCCACCAAATACATATGTTGTGAACGTGTTGAATTAGGAGATAGATTCAGAGCGCAAGGATGGCTGAAAACTGTAGCTTAAAATATTAGAAGACTAAAAGGAAAGCCATTCAGAGGGCAACTAGGATTTAAAAGTATTTCCACAATATGCTGCAATAAAACTCCGTAAAAAAGCAACCAAAAAATGTTGCCCTGATACATAAGTTTCGTATACAAGGCTAAAAGTTGGAAGCCGAGTAGAAATACTCCACTTTTCATGCCAAACTGCCGACGGCCGACGGGATTTTTCTATTTCCCTGCTACTTTTCTTCTATTCTTTTTTTGGTCTCGTTAGTGTTCGTGGGTCGTTTTGGCCGTGATAAATAATAAAAGCTGCTCTATAATCTCTGCGACTACGTGACGTTATTTGTGCCGATAGTGCACGAACGTGCCCCGAGTTGTGGACCCAAGAGAAGGACTCCTCCAGATTCTGCATCCAGGCATGCTCGGTGAGGCCAACTGAGAGCCTGACTGCTCAATTTTACTGTTGCTCGACCTTCCACTTTGCCAGCCATGCCACCCAGCCTCCCACCCCCTTCCTCCCATCCCCCCATCCACCCAACCATTCTGCTCAAGGAAAAGAAATCCTCATGCCCCGGGAGCTGAAAGTTGAATCAGAGCACATCCCTACGGTCGAATGTTTCACAATCACGTCGCTGCAATTCCATTATATACAACGGAGCTGTCTTCCGTTTCGTTTCGTTTCGCCGGATTCACAGTCGCATCGCGCCGTCTCTTTCGCTCCCCATCGGGTATATAACCCGTATCTCTGTTTGTTTTATATACACTTTCCCAATTCTCGGTAGGGAGCTACGGAGTCAGGTCCTCTCAAGTTAGCATGTTGTCGTCGTTATTTTGTTGCCGTCGCCCCAATCTCCACTGTATGACTGTATACTGTACATGTAGGTGGTGTGGAAGTGTGGGTGTACAGTGTGCATGTGTGTGGGTAGTACATAAAATGTAACCCAACAAGTCTGTGCCACTATCTCTACACAACGGAGGACTGCAGATAAGAGGCGGCTATACGTGAATATATATGTATGTTTGGCTACCATTATAGGCAACACAAAATTGAGGAGCGGGGAAATATAATCAAAGTTTGTGTACAACTGGGGAAGTGCGGAAAATATAGATTTTTACTGATAGAGAAGGCTCTGATAACCATACAAATTCTTTGAACTAAATTAAGTTTTTGATTTGAAAGATACAAAAAAGATTTTCAATTCAAAGTATGGTGTTCCAAAAGTTTTTATAAGTAAAAAAACTAAACTTGTAACCGACATCTGTTCACTATTAATAATTTTCTAACTTGAGTTTAAGTAATGCCTTTAAAAGCTCTCAAGTTTAATTTATATTTTCTTCATTTCCATCTGTAATTTCTGAGATTTCATTATATCAAGCGAAATTTTCATGACATTTCTGGCTCCAGAAAAATCGTTTATTTCGGAAGCAGCTTCCTCTCAAATCTCTAATGAAAAATTCAACAGCATGAAAATGAGCAATAAATGGGGCATAAAGCGCAAAACCGGGGGAAGCCCTGTAACAAAAAGAAAAAACCCGCGGAATTGCTTTAAAAATGCTATCAGAGCAGGGAAATATTCCGGCTTTAAGTGCGAGCGCAACCACAAAACATCACACTGATGAACCAAAAAGTTTAAATTTAAAAAACTCCGATGGTAAATGGAATAAGGGTCGGTGGATGTAGCTTCTGCCTGCGGTCTGCGGAGATGACTTACATGGAGTCTTGGGGCACAAGTTGGTAGGAGTTGGGGAACGCTTCTGTCTGGCGACGATACGATTTTTTTTGTTTTGGGGGTTGACGCTTCAGATGCGATGTGTGTGCCACAAGGGGAGGAATTGGTTGGCCCATGAAAGCAGAAAAGTTGCTAAAATGGCGCACACTGGTTGAAAATGCAGACAGGGCGCAGTAAATTAAAGCCCAACTGAAGGGATACCCTAACTATATTAGAATCTGGACACGCTCACCAGACTAAATTGGGATTTATTATTCAACGATTAAAAAAAAGTACAGTCTCATAGCCTTGAGAACAAACAAAGAAATACATTTTTTTAATTACAAATTTTTTAAATTTTCAAATACAAAACGGAAAGTTTTGGATTGTGTGGAAGTGAGCAGGTTTGATTGGACTAACAAAAACGATTAACTGATACAATTTAAAGCCATCTGAAAAGAACAGAAATGTTAGTTCTCTTGTTGATAATGATAATAAATAGAAATATAAGATAAAATGTTAATAAGATATAAATAAGATTATTTAGACAAAATGTATTTATTTATCAGAAATATCTAGAAAGGGTTTGATATTGTTGCTAATAATTATTTTGCCGAAATAAAAAACAAGTGATTATTTTTTTAACTTTAGAAATAGTGATTAATGTTTATTTTTTTAGTCTAAAAATAAATAGTAGAACCGATAACAGAACCGATTGAAACCAAATTTTTTACAAGCCTAACCCCAATTGATTGAACTCAACTAACGCATCCTTTCCTCGTGTGTCCTTGCAGGCGAGAAACCGCACAAGTGCCAGGTGTGCGGCAAGGCGTTCAGCCAGAGCTCGAACCTGATCACGCACTCCCGCAAGCACACGGGCTACAAGCCCTTCTCCTGCAAGCTGTGCCACAAGGCCTTCCAGCGGAAGGTGGACCTGCGCCGGCACAAGGAGACGCAGCACACGGACCTGCGGGTGCACCTGGGCAAGGTGGACTTCATGTCGGCGGCGGCGGCAGCGGCGGCCTCTGCGGAGCTGAGTGCGGTGGCGGGGGGACCGGTGCCCTCCGGAGTGCCGGCGGGGAGCCAGGGGGCCAGTGCGGTCAACCCGGCGAACAACGGAGCTCCCCAGATGGGCACTCTCAACTGCCAGAAGGTCTCGCTGCTGGTATAACATGAACACCACGAACATGGACACCAAACCGAAATCCAAATCAACCGCAACCATTGTGCAATAGACGAATGCGGAGCCGGAGGCAGCGGTGGCGGCGGAGGAGAAGAGCCTCGCCAGGCATTTGCCACTGCTTGAAACCGAACTCCAAAGAGAAAAGATAAAACAATTTAAATAATTTTAAGCCAGCCAGTTAAAAATATTTCCAATGTTGCCAAAAACGATACAAATAGCAAGAAAGTTTGAAATCAATTAAAGCCAGCACAATAGTCAGTCTCAAGTTCTCATAAAGTGTAATCATCTTACCAAAGCTATTCCAAAGCAAGGAGAGTTTCCACGTTTTTCTTTGTGTTGTCAGTTTGTATTGCTGTGGCCCGAGAGCCAGTTGAAAATCAAAATCATGTTAAGAAACTCCAACAATATGAACTGTGCGTGTCGTACTTTGTAAAATGTAACAGAATAAATCCAAAAACGCAAGGAATCCAATAAATAAAACAAATCGAAAGCGTGAAAGCAAAACAAAAAAGTTCCAAGTTTTCGCTTCTAGATAGTTGTGAAATTTTAACTAAATCGCTGTATTATGCAAACTATTTTGATATTATATCATTCCAATGAATTTAGTCTAATTAATAAATTTTTTAACTTATTTATACATATTATGTGTATGTATGTAAAAACCGCTAAACAAATATATATATATATATTTTCATTTTAATGTTCAACAAAGTAATGTATGTAATATTAAAATAACAGCTATAAAGACAAAAATTAATCTACATTCTAAGTATTTTTATGTTTTCAAAATAAATTGAATTTATTAAGCAAATATTTGAGAGGATTTTTTATTGAGTCTCGAAGGGGTTACACAAATGGGAAACTTTTACTCAATATTTTAGTGGCTTGGAAGGAATGTTTTATTGGTGGCTCACCTGTTAATATAATTGGAAGGCCACACGTAACACAAAGTATCCCCTTTCAAATTCAGAAGACAAACAGTGGAAAAAAACTTCTAAAGGACATTTCAATAACCCTGAACGTCAACACTTGAACAGACAAATTAAAAAATCATTCGTTTCTCCGTGAGAATTATAAAGAAGAATATTCAAACTCGCATGATTAAATCATGAGTGGGTGAAGCGCACTTGAATTTGTTTTCTATTCCCCAACGTGTCCAGCCGCAGATATCAAATATCACGTACGAGACGAGGGTAAGCCATCAGCCCGCCTCACTTACGTATATTTTTCTGCCAACTCCAATGCCATTTTCCATCTTCATCTTGGAGCTGTGTCTCTGCCAAATTTGACAATAAAAAATATATAAATTGCAAAAGGTAAACTCCGGGAACATAAGCTTTACTCTGCTCTCCGCCTCCTAGAATTGGACTATTCCCAAGTCTGCAATTTGCACAGCGGCAAATTGTCTACTTTGCAAATGGAGTTGAGCTGAAGCCAAACCAATTTCATCAATAAAAAATATTTCTGTCTACCTTACATAAAACGGTGAGTTACTTGTCCGTTGCTCCAGCGTTTTTGCATATGACAATTTCTATAAAAATGAATAAAAAGGCAGAATACGTGGATATTTGTGGATATACTGGTTTTGGTGGCGATGAAGTGGGAAATGAAATGGTTAGGAAAATGGATTCTCTTTTCTTTATACTTTATTTCATACAAAGTATACAACATTTATTTTCTTTTCCTTTTTTGAGCACTTTATTAAAAATAAAGGAATTCCCACGATTGCTTTATTAAATGAGTATTTATGTTTTGTGTTGTAATCCTAAACATTTGCAATGTTGACAACTTTATTGAATCTCAAATAAAAGTTAATAGAGAGCTGACAGAGGGAATATTTGAGAGGCATAAGTCGTATGTTAATTTATGCAATGATCGATAACATCCTGCGATTTAATGAACAAACGCTTTGCCGCCCGCAACAAAAGCAAAGCCCCAAGATCAATCGAGCGAGGGCGAGTCGTCGACCGAGGCGTTGGTGATCATAAAACATTGATCAATCAATCTTAAACGATCTGGAAAAGTCACAAAATCAGCAACTTCCGTCGAGAGGCACGAGTTGAGCGAGTGGAATCGAAGCGAACCCAGTGGATAAAATAGTTCGGAGCTGATCTTTACATTATTGATTGGGCGAGCGTTTTTATGATTGCATAAAACAAAAAGCAAAAATTATGGAGTCACAATGCGGGTTCTTTGAACGAATTAAACGCAATTAGCTGAAGGTACTTCCAGCCCATGATGGGCGGGAATCGGTTCCGTCAGGATGAGCTCTCTTCAGAAATGTCTGGGTTTCTAAAGTAATTCCACAAGATCATCATCAGAACATCTGCCTGCCAATGAATTCACGCAAGGCGATCTTAATGCGAATTTATTGCCGCCATCATTATGGCTCTGAGACATGAAAATCATATAGGCGATGACTAAAGACTTTTCAACAGCTTTACACCCCTTTTTGTGGATCTCCGAATCCGAATCCAAATCCGAAAATGCTGGCCTTCGTTTCGCTGCGGATGAGCACTTCAACGTCGGATAAGACAATGGAACTTAATTGCCCTTTATTTCTTAGAAAAAAAATATTACATGACTCAAAAATGATTCTCAAGGTGGCCATTAACTTCTTATTTTTCAATGAGATGATATTTAATAAAGTTTTGGGAAATCAATGAGTTTAATAACTTTGATTGATTTGTACGAGCGTAGCATTAAAAGCCTTTTTTGAGAACAAATTGTCCTTGAAGGTTGTTACTTTTTAAAGGAACTATGAATGGAATTTGTTTACTATGAAAATGGAAATTTTGTCAGTTTACAAACATGTAAAGTTCGATAACGGAGCAAAAACTTATAAGCTTATCGAATTTTTTTAAAGTTCAACATATTTTGAACATTTAGCTTTATCAGAGATATACATAAAAATCAAAATTATAAATAATGCTTTGTCGTGGTCTGCTAACTTACACTTTGTGTTAAAAAATGCATACAATTTTTGTTCCTCTTAGATTCCATTGCAGGAATTGTTCTTCTCTCTAAGAGTTATAATCCCATGTACAAAATCAAAATATAGTTAAAGCGCTTGAAGCCTCCACTCAGAGCCCCAACCTCATTGAATTGACCTCTCATCGAAGTGCCCCTGAGAATCCATTTCATTTGCCCCTCAATCGGCTCAGCTGGTCATCTCGGTGGCGAAACACCCACTCCCCCGATGGACACTTAATGGGAATTGCATTTTTATTACACAAACAGACGACGAAATGTTTATTAATGGCCCAAACACACAGGGCCATCGGAATCATCGCCATGACAACCGACTGCCAAATGCAGTTAAATTGATTCCGCCTCCGTATTCCGATGGCCGTAACTGCAGGGCTAACTAAGTGTAACACTATAACTGCAAATGTTGTTACAACGCTCGGCAGCGAGCACCTGCTGACAATTTCAAGTGCAGCCCGGCAAAAGAACAACAACACGCACAACTGGAGTGATTTTCCCGGGGCAGTTCGTATTTCCCTGCCAGTCAATCCTCAATCCTCCCCTTGAATCCGCTTCCGCGCGAATCGGGGAAACCGCAATTGTAATTCTCGGATGCGCAACATCGGGCAGCTTCCCAAACTAATAGCTCGCTCAGCGGGATCGGGTGGTGGCTGATTGCCCTGGTGGTTGCTGCTGCACTGCGAGAAATAATATTAAGTCACTGATTAAATTGGCAGTATGCTCGAACATATTTATATGTATCTTAACTTAATAAGGTATGTATATAATAATGTTTATAAGATATCTAAATCCTATTTTTTATAGATTTGTAAAAAAAAGGATTTGTTAGTATTTTTGTTCAATTTGCATATTTTTTAAGCCTTCAAATTGACATTGGGTTTTGATAATAAAAAAAGTTTATAGATCTTAAAACAGAGTAAGCTCGTAAATCTTACTATGAAAGTTTTATTATACTTTAAAACGTTAAGATTGTAAAATGTTATAACTAAATATAGAAATGTTAAATAGTGCTTTATTGAAATGTGAAGCAAAATTTATGTAATTTGTATGTAATGTAAAAACATGTTGAATTATGTTATTTTCAAAAAAATATTTTTAATTTATTAATTTCTATATTGTATTTTTTGTTAAAGCTGAACCTTATTACTAATGTTTCCAATTGTTAATCACACCTTATAACATGTAAAAATTGATGCCCACAACTTTTCCTACTACGAAATCTTTGAGCTAAGCGATTATTGATCTTTCTCAATCATTTTTTGCAGTGTATAACCCTGCATGCGGCGCTTGTTGCCAATTGAATATCTCAATTGCTGCAAGGCTGAGGCTGCTCGCTCCTTCCCGCTGCGTGATTATTCAGCAAAGGGAGAGCGTCTTGCCTTGACAAAGCAAACAAAACGCCCCGACCCGTGGCACAATCCCACTGGACTAATTCAAAACAGACCCCGTTGATACCCCTCACTCCCTTTTCGCACCCTCGAGCGACTGGGAAAGGCGCAAAGGCTGAAAATTGAGCATTTTCGGTGTCATAAGTCGACATTAGGGCGGTTCGGTTACGCCAGAGCAAACATCAACAAAGCGCATGAGACACTAATGCGAAAAGTGTAAAATTTGTTTTAAAACCCACAACAGTCCACGGATTGCATTGTTAGTCAAGTGGGTTCGATTCAATAATCCCAATGTATCAGGTAGGCCGTCAAAAAGTTAAATGATTAAAATATGTAAAAAAGATCGCGCAAGGAAAAATTTGTAAAACTAAGTTAGCACAGAAGCTCCAGATTTTCAAATCTTGTTGTCGGTTTAAAAAATTGATTATGTTGTATTTAATAATTTATTTAAACATTATTTCTCTGACAACTTTGTTTCAATTGTAACCTTAATTTACAATAACATGCATATGTAAGTATGTGAGAGTAAAAAGTTGACCGATATTATGAAAAATGATTTTGTATGCCTTAAATAGTTTATAATAATTAATAACTAACAAGTTTGCATTGCCTATATTTTTTACAACCCCCGTATGGTTCCTGCAAGTGGAATATGACATTTATTAATGTGTTTCTTCAGGTCCACTTTTTTCGTGTACCTGTTGTGATACTTTGACTGCGTTTTTTTGCTAAAAAAAAAAAACCAAGTTTATCATCTATAAAATTGTACAGCCTACGCTGTCTGGAATTCATCACAGCCCACCGCTGGAGCTTTAATTAAAAAAGCTAGAAAAGAAAAGTGAATTAATTTAGTATTCCTGATTTATTTGTCTCATGATTTTCCCTGAGTTCGGAGTGCCTTGGCCCACGAGTCTGCGACGAGCACGATGAGTTATTGCCGTAAATCACGTAGAAGGTATAAACTCGCAGACAAACTACGAGTGTGAAAGGACCAGCGAGCGAAGGACCTCGAGGACAACTGCGAACCTGTTTATTAGTCCTCTAATGCACAATAATACTTAGTGCCAAGGGTAGGAAATTATTCGGCTCCGCTGGGAATACTTACCGGGTTGGCTGCCAAATGTGACCTCTGAGCCCCCGACTGCATCTTCTACCGGGTGGATATTGAATTACGGAACACGTCTCGACTTTCCGGCCGGAATGAGCCTCATCCTCATCCTCGTTCTCATCCTCCGCGTTGGAGTTAATTTGCGCTCTGCTGCCGGAATTGCTGCTGACGTTTTTACATAAAGCGGGGCATAAATCACATTTACCCAATGCAGAGAGTACCGAATCTGAATTCGAGTCCGAATCGAAATCGGAATCACTATTCCCCCAACTTGGCACTTGATTTGGCAGCGATTGAGGCGAAAGTGTTGCAGGCCAACACGCTGAA